TTTCTTCAAACAATGGGGACCGATGGAAAATTTTTTCTTCAGACGTTGGGAACCGATAATGATGATGATGTGGTTAACATTAAACATAAATGGTTAATAATAATAATTTTATATATACATGAGTAGTTACCAACACAGAAACATAAGCTCCAGCTCCATGACGTATCACTTGCTACCAACACCATTTTCAGATGGAAAATAAGTCGGCTAAGAACCGACTTCTTAAACGACGTTCAATACTGTTTGCTACCAAACAGTCTTCAGAAAAACGAGCAGTAATTGACTACAAATTTGCAAAGAAAAGAACCACATTCAGGATTCCTTAGATATAGGACGAAACTAGCACAAACGCATTCAAATCCAGAAACACGATAAAACTTCAGAACAAACCAACCAAAAATAAATTCCGAGAAAGTAACACAAATCTCTTCAAAACTTCCACNAAAAAAAAAAAAAACTTCGATATCATCCAAAAATCACACCATCCTACTAAAAGCCCACTAACAAAAAGAAAGTAATTCAAGAAACGAGATTATCATTCAGGGAGAGAGAGCCAAGCTGATCTGCAGGGGAGTTGACATTCCTCAGGACATCCATAGCCTCAGCCACCTTTGCTTTGAGAGCTTCAGGTGATTCCAGCAGATGCAGAACTTCAGTCTGGTCCATTTCCAGAAGCATTCCCGTCACTTTTGCAGCATGCTCGTGCTCCAGCTGGTCAACCAGTGGGTACAGATTCTCTCCCAGCATCTATTGTTTAAAAAAAAAAAAAAATCACATGATGCATAACAAGTCTTGGCCTAATTTCAGAAACAAAATATAAATTGATAGTTCGGACAAAAATTAGATGATTTCAATTAAGCTTACTGTTCTCTGCTGTTCTGGAGTTGCATTAGCAAGAGCAGAAGCAAGTGCAGTAATGGGCATGGGCTGTGGAATAGCAGCAGAAGCAGTGCCACCCATCTCATATGGCACTGAAAGCATCCCACCGCCAATACCCGGCATCGGCCCATCTTGCATGTTACGACTGGGAGGGTACCTCTGCATCCTCCCCCTCGGCATTATCTATCAAAATAAGTAACAATTATTTTTTTTTAAGAAAAGGGATAAACAAATGGCCACTTGATATATATTGCACCGAATTTAGGAGAGGATTGTATTCGTAAATTTCAACAATATTTGTTTTCATATAATATGATCAGTTCAAACTTCAGTAACAACCAAAAAAATAAAAAATAGTGATAATAAAAAAAAAAAAGATAAAACAAAAGCATGGCTTACTTGTGAGCGCATTAGTGGCACAGGCTGTTGAACTCCACCCACTCCATGTCTGCCACCTGGACGCTGGCCCTGCTGGCCCTGCTGGACTAGCGGCACAAAGAAGTTCGGCAAAGGGCCACCTGGACGCATTCCAGGTACCAGCTGCTGCTGATAGCCAAATCCAGTCTACAAGATTTTGAACAGTAGAGTTACAAATATGGTGCACACAGACTATAGAGCGAAACATATCAGTATCGACACAATGATCAGGCCATTATGAAATCTAGTGACAAACAGTGTTATCAATGGCGGATGGCCGGCAAACCAAAAAACCGGGTGAATAGCATGGCGAAAATGACGGAGGTTAGGGTTTTTATAATTTATTATTTCTCAGCAGATCTGGGCTGATTTTGGCAAAAATTTTCCTTTCTCAGCCTGTGACGCATTAAATGTAATCAAGGATCATAAAACCATATATTCCATGAAAACAAAGAGATAACAAACGGAACACATGCACATAACCTCAAACAAAGATTGAGACTGGACCATGAGACCATATTTATATTGGCTTTAACAAACTACCAACATCTATTAACAGCTTGTGTTGATATAATGAAACACAGTATTACTAACTTCTAATAAAAAAATAAACTTGTAACCCCCATTTTGAACACTCGGCATCTGCAACCGACATTAAAAACATTCCATTTAGCAAAGCAAAAATACAAAAAACAGAACCCAACTTTCAGAATTCATTTCTTTTTTTCAGAACTACTGAGACTGAGTAACATTTGATACTTAAATGGATAGGCTGAGAAAATAATAGAACTAAGAAGGCAGCAACTGTCACCTGGGAAGGTATCATAGCAGGAGGTTGCCCATAGAATAGCTGCTGACCAATACCCGGAGCACCAGGAGGATACAAAGGCATACGAGGAGCAATTGATGCTGGCATGGCAACAGGCCTCATCTGAGAAAACTGAGCCTGCAATTAATAGACACGCTACAACTGGTTTCAATTAATCCTGAAAATGATTTAAGGAAATATACGTGGTCTGTTATATGATTGACAGTTGGAAGATGTCAAAGTTTTCTTCCTGAAAAGGTGAGGCCAAAAGCAGACAAGAAATACCTAAATACGCAGATGTATATTAAGTACAGTACAATGTAATCAATACCTAAATACGCAGATGTATATTGAGTACAGTACAATGTAATCAACGGGGGATTGGCTGAAATCCGCCACGCCATGGAAACCATTTGATAAAACTAGTACAGTACATAAAAAATGGGAGCATGTAGTGTTCAGTAATTATAAAATGATAAATTATAAGCTGTGATGGCTATAAATAATTTTGGATACCATAATTAGAGGAAAACACTAGTCAATAACAACAGAGCTGGGAGGTCACCACCAGTTATATCCCACAAAAAGATAAACAGAGCAGGCATAGTGTACAACATTTGACTCATGATATTTTTAAGTCAAAAAGCCTGCAACAAGTAACTATTTTGAACTGAATCTTGGGCTATTGGAGGTCAACATCCCACATAGATGACATTTGCAATATGCAATAACATTAGTCAAGTAGAAGTGGAACGGAAATGACATGCTTTTCAAGATGGCACCCATAAAAAGTCCAATCAGACGAAAGATGTTCTTAAAAAAACAGCATTTCACCTGTAATCTTGCCTTTCTCTCTTCTTTACGCTGTGCAAGTGCAACATAGAGTGGCTTGCTTATCACCATTTTGCTGTTCATCTCAGAAAGCTAACACAAAAGCAACATTCCGATAAGTTGGGGCATGATATTAAGAAATGGTATCTATAAATGTATATAAACTCACAGCTCTAGAAGCTTCTTCTGGAGTTGAAAAGGCAACAAAACCAGAACCTCTGCTAATCCCACTAGGATCTCGCATGACCTGCAACCAAGACGGAAGAATTTAGTCGTTAGAACTTATGTAAATTTGGTGCATACAACTTGCAGTTAAGCAGATGCCAAATTACCTTGCAAGAAGTAATAGTACCAAACTCCGAAAACAGTTCTTTCAATTTCTCATCATCAATGCTATCATCCAAATTCTTCACATACAAATTAAGCCCTTGAAATTTGTCAACAGTTTCTCTAGTAGTCTGCTCAAAACGATTTTTCAGATCTTGCTCCCTCTCAAACTTCTTCTGGGCTTTCCCCACATACAACTCTTTTTCATCAATTTTCTGCCCATTTAGAGCTTCAACAGCTTTAGCAGCATCATCAGCATTTTCAAAATTGACAAATCCAAAACATTTTGACTTCCCATCAGCATCTCTCATCACCACGGAACTTGTGATTGTTCCGTATTCACCAAAGATTTTCTTCAGATCATCATCAGTAGTAGATTCAGCCAAATTTTTCACAAACACATTATTGAACTTTGTCTTGGTGATTTCAGTTTCTCTCTCCTGCTTACGTAGGAAATGCCCAACATACACTTGCTTATCATTAATAAGCATCCCATTCAACTTACCAATAGCATTTTGTGCAGCTTCTTCAGTTTCAAATTGGACAAATCCATAACCCTTTGATTGGCCATTAAGATCAGTAGCAATCTTGCAGGAAAGTATATTCCCAAAACTTGAGAAAGTGTCGTGCAGTGCTTTGTTGTCGATTGATTTATCCAAATTCTGGATAAGAGAAAGTAACACCAAGTATTATACAATCAGCACACAACATTGTTAGGAGAATGTATGTGTAATACTGAGAATTATATAAATGAACAAACTTGTAAAAAATGAATTGCAGTTAACAGGTAATCTGAATCTTCGTCACAATATAGAAGTCAAACCAAACACTAGTTTTCAGCCAGTTCTGAACTAGACATGCAGATACTAATAAATGTGCTCAGGTTTAAGTTTGCCAAACTAAAACACTATCAAATAATTAAGAATAATCATGCTAATTAGCTTTCTACAGGAAGCATGAACAAGAAAACTAAACATCATATGATGGAGGAAATGGTAATATGAAAAATGGAAGCAAAATTGACGAGACAAGTACCTTGATAAAAATATTTGCAGTTCCACTTTTTCGGACACTTGGGTCCCGATGAGAATACATGACCCGGATTGCCTTGTTATTGAGGGGAGTGAAGTTCAAAACTTCCATAGCTCTTGCCGCTGCAATCATCAGACCCGGTAAATTTGCTTAAAGTGATTCAAAGGGACACCAAACTTAAATCATAAAAAATAGCATAATAAAGCTGCAGAGGTAGACAACATGAAACAATACACTGTCCAAACAAGAGAAGGAATATTTCAAAGGCTGGAAATATGAGAGAAAGATTCTGAGCCCATTAAGATTTCTAATAGGTCCCAGTCACCACCAAGCAGTCTTCTAATTGTTTATCAAACGTTACAAACTACTGTTGTTTGCCAATCATTTCACACTTGATAGAAACATAAGAGCAAAAGCAAAAGAGAAAATTTATACATTGTAGAACTTAAAGGAAGGAGCCAGAACAAAAAACAACCATGTTACACTGCCGACTTGAAAGCATGCTCAATAAAAGAGGAATTTTATTGGCTTGATCCCATCCGACATGTGTTACACAACAATACAAAAAGTAATTTTTTTGCTAAGCAATTTTCAACAACCAATGTTGAGTATCCACAGTTCCAATCTTCCATTTATGATTATTCAACTAAGATTGGCTCATAAAAAAGTGAAATAAGTATTTGAAGCACTAATTGTTCAGGCATTCATCCCAATATTTTCAGCACTAAGAAATTACGTGACTATTCAAATGCAGCAGAAATTTATTACTAAGAGACCACATTCCCGTAATCACATACACGCCTCAAGTAAGCAGAAATCAGATTCAATAATGCTGCATAATCAACAAACTTAAAGAGGACTCCAAATACTAACCATCCTGGGGGTTGCTATAGTTAACATAACCATAGCCAAGGCTACGTCGAGTGCTCAGGTCACGGCAAACCCTAACTGAGACAACCTGCCCAACCTGATTGAAAAGATCGTAGAGCTGGGAGTCCGTCACGTTGATATCCAGGTCACCTACGTACAGAGACGTCGACAGAAACTGGCCGGCAGCCGCACCATTTGGCCCAGGAGTCGCCACATTCTGGGGTTGCACCTGAATCTGCGCCATAATCCTCCGATTAAAGATAGATCTCCTACTCTTTTTTTGGGCTTTTCTTTAACTTTTTCCTTCTATGTGTTACTGCTCGTAGAGATGCCACAGAAAAAAAGCTAACGGTGAAGCAACTGAAACAAAATTGATAATTTTTTTGGGTTTTTGGTTGATGGTAAAATGAATTGTGATAAATTTTTAAGGGTAGCAAAAGATAAATGCAAATAAAGATAGAATTTTTGGGGGGGTTTCTTTTTTTNAAGGAAATGAACTGCAAGTAATTTATATATGAAAGGGGGTGCTGAGAAACCCTAGATGGATGAAAGAGATGAAATCTTGGCCATTGATTCGGAATGTGGAAAATGTCCGATCATACGTGTACATTTATCACGTGCAGCACATGATCATGATATGGTTAAATTTAATGTAGGCATTTTGTAAATATCAAATTTTAATGTATTGAGTCTAAGTAAATTTAATGAAGGTATTTGAGTCTAAGTAATAACACTAGTTTTTGTCCCGTGCATTTGCACGGAAAACTATATGATACATGAAAAAATAATAAAAATTATAAATAATAGTAAAAATCATAACAAAATCATTGATAAAATTAAGAAAAAAAATATAAATATTCTTAAACACTTCTTTATTAAACAACGTCGTGGTTTTTCTATCGTCAAAATCTCCTTCAGCTCAAATCAAAATCTTCAAACCCCACTGACTCGTAACTCTAAAAAGCGTCACGTATAATTGCTCATGACTAAATGCAGAGCTCTTCAGTAGTAAGCCGACGTGCGACAGAGACTGTCTTTGACTCTTATTGATCATGTCATATCATAGGAAACACTTCTTTGTATTGTTTGTCCTTGACTCTTATTCATTGATAGAGATTGTCCTTGTTTCTTAATAAGAAAAATACCATCTAAATATAAATAAGTAAATATAATATTAATTTTTTATATAAACAAAAAATTTAAAGTAATTGATAATGAGTATAGAATTACCCTTGCGGATTCAAGTTATTTCAACGATGTTCTTTTTATATATCTAAGATTTACTTTTTTTTCTGATTTATATGAATATAAGCACATTTAACTAATATTCATAAAATTTATTGAAAAAAGTTACTATTTTTTTGAAAAACTGATAAGATATTAAGATAATATTGTACTTTACATAAATGTGGGATAATTAAAATAAATCTTTTTTAATTTAGTCATTAACTAATTAAATTTAACTATAAGAAACCTTCTTAAATGTAAGATTAATGAGTAATTAATTAAAAAAATGTAACTCCTTTTGGAGGGAAAGTGAAAATATTTTTATTAAATGTTTTATTAAATGGGATTAGCTAGCAATTATATATATATAGATTTTATGGGCCAAATTTTATGTTTGTCATTGGCTTTTGTTGAATTTTTATTTTACACTCAATCAAAAACTAATTAAGTTTGAAATAACCAATAATATACTAGAAATTTATGGTTGTTTTTAAGAGAATTAATTATATCACATTTTCTATTCTGATATATAAGACTTAATTTTATTCTCAATATTTCTTTTTCTCTCACATTTCTTTTAAAATTATGAAAAAATAACTAACTTAAATTATAAATAAATTTAAAAGTTAATATTTTTTTATTATCAATTTTATGTACATATCAAATTAATTATGTCTTGATGAGCTTCCATGTGACACTTATATTGTACATACAGAATAAATAAATAATTATATTTTTTATAATAAAAAATAAATTACCTGTTAATATACATTAAATAAATAAAATTATTTAAATCAATTCAACTACAAAGTTGTTAAATGATATATTTAAAAAAAAATATTATAATATAAGATGGTAAGCCATATAAGTGATAGTGTTATTTTAAATATAAATAGCAATATAGTTATTAAAAAAGTATTTGAAAATTAAAATAATTTTATTATTGTTATTTCTAATTTTAAATATAAATTTTTTAACAAACACCCGCGTAATATGCGAATATTGTACTAGTGAATGAATAATGGACGGTATAGTTTTTTCAATTGGTTTGGATACTCTTATATTAAAATATTATATTATTTAGGTAGTAATTTTTTTTTTATTCAAAATATATAACACGTCCAGTTAATTAGATCGACTAACAATTGTATGGATATGAATACAAATATGCTATCTATATGTAAAGGGTAATTTAAACTGAATTGAAATAAAAAATAAATAAATCGTACCAATGAATAAGATATAATTTTTTTCCGAAACGATAGAGAATATTATAAATCAAAACGCATAAATGTGCAAATTACAGAGCCTCTAACTGAATAGTACAACCAACAACTGAAAACTGCGAGGACAGGTTAGAAGACCACCTAGAGCCAGCATAACAACGCTAGAAAATAAACTCACAACAACACAACGTATAGAAACTACAAAAACTACAACTAACTCCCCAACAGGAGACTAAAACGAACCCAACGGAGTAATACCCGCTCACACTCGGGCTCACAGGGGTCAATAGCCCAAACCAAAAACACAATTCCTAACCAGCAACAACAGAAAAACACCAAACGAAGTTTTTCTGTCGTGCGACTTGTCGGCTTATGTGAACATGTGAATTTAATGCCATCAGTTTTGACCTCATGCAGTTGGAAAGAGAGAGCTACGAATGATTGAACGCTATCCCAATCTCTATCAAGAGTACTCGCGAGAGGAGCTTTCTTTTGCTCGTGCTAAATTGAATCAGTGTCTGCTTCGTGAAGTCAGCCTTACCGACCAAGGTGTTTATCGTTCACACACCCAAAGGGTACGAAAACAAAACAAACTAAAATTAAAAGGGGGAGCCCTTCCACAACAGTTTAACCAAACCAAACCAGCAGAGAAACAGTCAACTCCGAAGTGAGATCCTAAGCCCGAGGAACCATTACCGAAATTGCCGAACCACCTATAAAGCATCTGAACCCGAACCCCGAATCATACCCAAAATCAACCCGCCCCTGACCGGAGGAACCACGAACCGACTCTCCACACCGGNTTAAAATGAAATTTCTGCACCACAGGAAGGAAAACATACTTCGCACCATTCAAGGACCTGAGCATATCATCAAGCATGACAACAGTACTTCTACTAAAACTAGAAGTACACGCCTGATAATCCTCCTTCCGAGGAAGTTTTCTCTTAATTTCTTTGATAGCACTCAATAAATTACTCTACAAATTCAATAGTTTTTTTTAGCAAATTAACAATCAATAAAATCAATAGAGTATATTAAAATAAAATACTTGAACATATGTCGGCAGAAATTGGACATGAGGATGGCAGCCACGCAGGATCGACATATAGCAATCAACGAGTTGAGAATCCAACTCGGACCCGAACAGAAGAGCGCACACCGATTTCCCTCGGACCAAAATTTGGTCATTGCTCCACACAATTTTGCTACCAAAATTTATAATTTTAATGAGTATAATATAATAGAAATTAAAATAACTAACGTAATTACGGTTACCTCAACTGATTGCTTGCCAAGAACGACTTGATGGCTGCAACATCCTCTTCCGAGACATCCCCATGTCCACAGAAATCTTCTCTACCTCTATATTGATTCAGTGAAGAATCCTCATCGTCGTCACTCTTGTCACCCTCCTACATTACAAAATAATTAGTTAGTTATATGAAAACAACACGAACAATCACATAAATTACAAATATAAAATTGCTAGTTTAATTACCTCATCATCAACCAAGGTCACCAACTGCAATTTTTTTTCTTTCTTATGCCTCTTTGGATCAGATGACGGAGGGGTCATAAAATTCACTGGCTTCGTCTTCTTCTTCCTGCCTACCCTCTCCCGGACCCTTTTCACCATTGAGAAGAGCCGTTGTTTCTTCTCCACCTGATTAGTCGGAAAAAAGTGTGTATTATATATATTTATTAGCGTATTTTTATATGCTCAATTTTATCGCACGTTTATATTTTTTGACTTATTTATTATTTGGATATATTCAGTTGCTTTGATTATTTTATATTTATTTTCAGTGTGTTGAGGTAATTTGTGAAATTGGACGGAAAATCGAGCGAGCATATTATCGGGCCTTAACAAACCCCAAGTTTAGAGATTTTGGGCCTGCAGAATTTGACTTAGAGGAAATAAACAATGCAAGCATCTTATTTATTTGGGCTGGACATCAAAAGAAAGTCGTGAGGTGGCGGAAAATTAATGGAAAAGTAATTTGGAGTATTGAGGCACTTATTGTTAGTGTTATATACTGAAAGCTTGGCTTTGCATGTTATTACACATTTACCCTTTATGAATGAGAATCATGTTAGATTAAACAAGTTCTACGTTCTGTTGTTCTGCACTTAGATAGTGTGGGTCGTCATCGGGCGAACCGAAGATCACTCTATCAGTTACTTGCGAACAAGAATAGTTGTTCACAACCTAGATGGACATGAACACCCCATCCGAACGGTTGTAGTGTCAACTGTACAGTTTGTCTTGACTGATTAGTTGCACTAATACATTTATGTATTGAACAGGATCCCAGAGAGAAAAAGTTCATTTTATACTGATCGTCGTAAATGAACTAGGCCTCGGTTAATTACTGCGTTCTCTTAACCCGTAAGATATTAAACAGACAGATATATATAATATATATTACTTTGATTCACATGGGTGAAGTTCAGTTCGCTGGATTAATATTCTTACTGTTTTGGGTAATATTATTATATATAGGATGTGCTGTTAGGATATTTACGGTCACCATGTGCGTTAGTTTGATGATGTCCCCGGAGTGAGTTCATGAAGGATTGTTATGCTAAACCCTGCAGGTGGATTAAATTCCGACATAATAAGAATGTGATGAACGAGCGCTAGCTTCGGTGAAATAATAATAAATTAATTAATTCTTGATTGTCAGTAATCGAATTAATTAATGGACATTATATCTTAAACGTGGGGAGGTAAATCGAGTAATTATTATTGGAGTCTCAAATGTAATTTGGGCTAGGGAAAGGGAGTGCAATAATATAATGTTGGTGGCCCATTAATATTATTTAATTAATTAGAGGAGTGGGTTTGGCCCACAGTTAGTCTAATTAATTAAGGAGCCCTTTTCCTAATCTCCTTAGGATCCCTACTGTAGCTCTATATATACATCATTAAGCTCATGAGAAGAGAATAGAAGTCTCATTCACACGAGATACACGCCTCACACGCCTCTCTCTCTCTAGATCTCATTCGAGCTTTATCTTCTTCTTGTTGCTCCACTGGTACAAGTTGAAGAAGGGTGTATTGAGTAATACAGTAGAAGATCTGTAGGTAAAACGAGACGAAATATATTTTGACCTACAGAACTAACCGGACGTCCGATTGAGACGTACAGTATACCCAGACGACCGTCTCGACGAGAGCTTTCCATCGCCGCCGACGTCGCCGGAATCTGACGCCGAACGCGCCCCCACGCGCCGCCGGAAGGTGCCAGGCAGCAAAATTTCGTTTTGATCTGTTTGCATCCGTTTGATCCAGTTTTGATCTGATCTTGTTCGCGCAACCCAAGACGTGATTTGCGGTCAATCAATTGCGGTCAATCGTTCGTGGTCAACCAGATCTACATAAATTTTAAGCCGTAAGTTCTCTACGTCAAACCTTTAGATCCGCTGCGCATAGGTTTACGTTTGCTATTGAATTCGTGATTTGTACATAACGAGATCCTCACAGATCCCAACACTTATTTGTGGAGACAACACATTTATTGGGAACACATAGGATTTATTTGCGGGACAAAAATAAAAAAAACACACGCAGCCCTATCATTCACACAGAAAGAGAATAGAAGCCGCCACGCACCAGAAAAAGAAAAGAGAACAGAGACGCGATACTGACGAGGAATCCGGCAATCGCGGAGGGAGACCTTACCCGTACACGAGGGAGATAATTAATCTCTCTCTTTTATTTTTTTCTTTTTATTTATTATGTTAGGCTAGTTTTATTTCTAGTTCCGGGAAAGTTGAACCCTATGATTTGATGATGTTTGGTTGATTTTCATGGTTGATAATTTCAATATCTTTTTCGAATTGCTTGTGTTATTTTGAATAATTCACCATGATGTGTTAGTCTTATTTAGGTTGATCACCTAGATTAGACTTTTCATATATACATCTGAATTAGACCTGCAATCTGTAATTGTTGTTGTGTTTAATTCATAAGAGGTAACCGGAAGATGGTACTACCGGGGATAACACGGCTTATTTAAGTGAGCGAACGCGGTTGAGTTCACTACTTAGTCTAGCCTATTTTTCTAATTCGTAAAGCGGCTTATTGTATTAAATCTTGAAAACGTTTTTCTGGACTGTACAAGAAGTTAGGTTTAATCGTAGAGCGTCTCGCGGTTAAATTAAAATTAAGGAAGAATTCGGGTAACAGACCGTGTCGTGGCCTAGGGCTAGTAATTTCATAAGATAGCGAGATTTGATACCAAAGTTGATTAGACGAGTCGGTTGAGGGTGTAGACGGGATCGTGAACTAGAAGCTTTCTCTTATTTTATTTATTGTTATTTTTATTTTATTTGTTTAGATCTTATTTATTTTAGTTAGTTTAGCTATAAAATCACAATCCCCCCGCTTTTTATAATTTCAATTACGAGAAAATTCACAATTTGAGTCACACTCTCTGTGGGTTCGACCCTTGCTCACTACTACTACTAGTTGGTAGAAGTCGGTTAAGGAAAATATAAATTATAATTTTGCCGCGTTACCTCAACACACTGAAAATAAATATAAAATAATCAAAGCAACTGAATAGATCCAAATAATAAATAAATCAAAAATATAAAGGTGCGATAAAATTGAGCATATAAAAATACGCTAATAAATATATATAATACACACTTTTTCCGACTAATCACCACCTTTGAAGAAGCCAATTCCTCCCTCAAACCAGCCTCATTGACTACAAGGTTTACAAGTCGGTCCAAGTCTTCAAACTCATTCACAACTTCATTCTCATTCACAACAGGTTCATTTTCAACAACCATCAGAGCCCATTGTACCTCATTCTTTTCCTCCTCTTTTTCATCGACCACTTTTTCCTCGACCTCTTCTTCCTCCTCCTCTTTTTCCTCCTGTTTTTCCTCCTCCTTCTCCTCTTTTTCCTCAGCAAAACCAACACCATCACCACTATCAGGCTCTTCTTCCTCACTTTTTTTCTCTCTTTCTTTTTCTTCATTATTTCTTTCTCTCCACTGAGACTCCAACAGTTGAATTCTTTTTTTATGTTCAACGTTTTCATGACAAACGATGGACATTCTGTTCTCAAACGTTCCCTGTACATGAAAGAAAAGAAAAATTAAAGGAAAACTTAAATTAAAGATACTTGTACCTATGAAAATATACTAATGTCAAAACATAAATTCTGGACAAAAATCAAAGAAAACCTGGGCTTCCACAAACGCACGCTCCTCTAAAACAGGCGATACCGAATACACCTGCAAAGTAAAACATAATGATTTAAGTACAATATCGATTAACCAAAAAGATAAAAAGAAGAAGTGGAAAACACATAATATTATAAAATTATATAAATCACCTTATGCGTGATTGTAAAGACCCTTCAATGTAGATGACATTGTGCTCCCCGTCCATCGAAATAGACGGGGAATTTCCTCGAGTGTGGAACGTTTGCCCAGAGAAGGCACAAGCTCGTACAACCAAGCCTACACACATACACATGATTTCAAAATTACACAATCCCACAATTAATATTATTGTATTAAGACATTGAAACACATATATACATACCATCAGCCCAACGATACATCCATCAAAGTAAGCTCGGTCTCTAGATTCACCATCACGAATAAGCTCTGCAAGCAAGAATTTATGAGTTGCATCTCCCCATGCATACTCACAAATTCGGCTCGCATCCTCCAGGTAAGGGTAAAACAAACCTGGGGATGGAATAACTCGAACAAAAAAAAAAAATGCAACTAAAAACGAGCAAACTATACATCCTGATGAAGTCGTCTACACGACCTTCATCAACAGCAAACTTTTCTAACAGATCTACGACATGCTTTCTTTTCAACAATTTTTTACCTACTCGACCCCAGCCGTCGAATAAAGCTTTCGACTCTAAAAAAAGGTCTAAGTCTATGCTTAGACCCCCCTGTCCTTGCTCCATAGTTATACAAAACTCGACAGGGTCGAAATTAAGAAACAAATTATCACCAAGAACAAACGCATTCAAGTCTACCATGTACGTGCTAACTAGAGCCTCAACTCTACTATGCAAAAATGCTACATCGAACATATTCACAAAAAAATAAAAAGGGCTCCGTTGAAGAGCCTCTTTGTGCTTGTCCGAGAGCACATCAACCGTTCTATCGATCACATCTTTGAAATATGATGGGGCACACCTGCATCTTAGTTCTGTGCCCTATCACAAACAAAGAGAGTTTTCAAACATAAGGAACAAAAAAATTCACATATTCTTCACCATTTACATATATAAGTATTGTTTTAAATACAAAATAACAAACTATCTGATTATCTAATGTTATTCCGTATCAATCTTAGTTAAATATTTGGTGCTTTGCATAGCTAAGATGGTGAAGAAAGGAACCTTATGATAAATTTCAGAATATTAATATACTTTTATACCCCCTTACTATATAAATTCAATATATTTAACCATATCGAATGTCTTTAGATAATAGATATTGCATCAGTATAATTGTGAGGAAGAAGATATTATTTGTACAAGTTTCAGAACATTCAATACAATATAGATTCTTTCTTTATATTAAAATGCTAAAAGAATATAATGTTATCAGAAATTCATTTAGACAAATTCAATTACAGCCCTAAATTATTCGAATTTAGCCCTAAAATTATGAAATTCACAGAAATTCAATTACACAAAAGCTCTAATTACTGAGAAATTCACAGAAATTAAATTACACCGAATGACCCTAATTCGAATTCAAACCCCAAATTGAAAAAATCCATAATTTTCGAATTCAAGCCCTAAATTGAAAAAAAAAAACCCTAAAATTAGGAACAAAACCAAAAAATCAGAAAAATCAGAAATTACCCTTGCGCTTGATAATGCCTTCGTGGGTGTCGAGGAGGACGGTTTGCATGGAGATTTCTTTTTGGAGCCGGCCATTGCTTCACAGAGAGATGAACGACGAGGATAGAGAGAGAGACGAAGGTGGTGATGAACGAACAGAGAGAGATAGTAGAGATGGATGGCGATGAACAGAGAGAGATAGCGAGAGACAGAGAGCGCAGAGATGGTGAACGAAGAGAGAGACTTTAAAAATTGATTTTCAGATATTAAGGCAAAATAAATGAATAATAATAATATTACTACATATATGAGGAGTAAATTGGAAAGAGAAATTAGTGTAGAGGAAGTGCAGAGAAAAAAATTAAAAGAGAGACTGACTTGAAAGATGAAAAGGGAGTAGGTATTTATGTAGAATTTTATTTTTTTAATAATATCTGACGTTACAACAAAATTTTAAAAAAATTCTGAATTTTCAAACCGTAACATGTAACAACCCTATTGTGCCGCAAGCAATTGGCCAACTGATTTTTCTATATTTTACAATTTCTGGTATGTCCACATTAATATAGATTAGAAAAGGACCCCCTCCTTTGGCTTTGGGCACCCAACTCCTACCTTATCTTCTAATCAAGTTGCTCATTTCAAGACACACACAAATAGGTCCCACTCTTGTGTGTCTCCTTCATCATCATCTCATTCAAAGCAACACAAGATTAAAATATCCAATGTAACAGTGTAAAACATACCCCCAACACCAAGTGCTCGAATACAAGTAAACCCAAGAAATTGACACACTTATCCATACAACCAAAATTCTCCAACAATAACACCACTTGATTGAGAATTTTACAATCAAGTAATCAAGAACCTGAATGATAATCTAAATATATAGTATTTATATTAGCAAAGTTTATATTATTTTTCTTGTCACACCTGTATAAATCAAAACCCTATATAGAAACCCTCTATGATTGCCTAGCAGCTACACACTCCTTCATCTTTATCATTCGGAAATTCCGTTCACAATTTCCGGTGGATATTAAATGGACAATAAAGAAAAGGAAAGAAAACTAATAAATAAAAATATAAATTAAACCGTTTATCTAATTCTCCTCCCACGCCTCGGGACTCGGGTACTCGTTCAAATCAGGCTTCCCGGAGGCCCGGCCCGACTTATCGGGCCCGTCAAGCTCGCGGCCCGCGGCGGCCTGCATCGCGTCGACCCTGGCCCCGACCTCGGCGGCCCTCTTCCTTATGGCGGCGGCGGACAGATCCCGTGGCTCCTCGGCTGGGTCTGCGGCGGCCACACACTCCGGGAAGTTGAGGCGGGCGGTGGGACCGCGTAGGTCGAGGAGCGCCGTGTCGTAGGCGCGCGCCGCCGCGACCGGGGAGGAGTAGGAGCCGAGCCATATCCTGGAGCGCTTGTTGGGCTCCCTAATCTCGGCCACCCACTTGCCCCACTTCCTCATCCTAATCCCCCGGTAGGGCTTGTCCTGCCGCCGGCTACCCCTCTGTTTCGCCTTGGAAATCTCGCTCGTGCACCAACCACCTTCCATGGATTCTCTTTTTGTTATTATTTTTCAATTGATTTTGATTTTGTTGAGTTTTGGGTGGAAAATTGGGTGGAGATAGGGTTTTGATAGGGGGCGGCGGGTGGGCAAAGAGAGATTCTCAAGCTAAAAATTCGATTCAATTCAATTTTGTCTGTGGTAGGATACACCCGGATTTATATGGAGGTGGGGGGTGTGTGGGGCTCTCATTTTTTATGTAGAATTTCATATATAATTTAGGTATGGATGTGTATAGGATATATAGTGGCATGCTATGTCCTACTCTACTATTATTAAAGATCTTTTATTTAATAATTTTGGGGATGTGTTCTACTTTGACCTGTATATATATGATGTTTTATTGTGGTATTTAGAGGTTAAGCGTGTTAAGTGGATTTCCGTCTACCAAAGTCGATTCTCCCAACATGACTTCACCAAAATTTTCACTGCTTGCAAATAGAGTGATTAATTCACATAAAAATGTAATCACTACAAGGAAATAGATAGGTTACAATCCCCCTTTCTCTCTCTATATTCTAAATCTCTCAAATTCTCTTTACGAAATCCTCGCCCGTCTTCAATCGCGGAGCCTCACTTTCGGCGGTTCCATTTTCTTGCGATTTCAGCGAGCATCGGGCTCGCCTAGGTTTGCCGGCGCGGGCATGGTGGCCGTTTCGCATCTCCCTCCCCGTATGTGGTTTTGTTCTTGTTACCGAGCACCACAATGGACGAGCTCGAGGTGTGGCGTCCGACAGTCACTGCGGGCGTCAGAGGATGTCTGTGGCGGCAGTCCGACATTGGTCCTCTTCTTTTTCGGTCTCCCCTGATGTTGGGTTGGTCGGGACCTCCGGCGGCTGTGGCATGTCGAGCGCACGCCTTG